CAAGGTTCCCCAAGCTGGGGCCACAGCAGAGCCGGGATTCAAACCTGGGGCCGGCCCTTCTCTGTGCTTCTCTGTCCACCCCTGCGCTGCTCAGGCAGCCCGGAGACCACCTTCAGCCCCGGGGGCGGGGCTGGTTAACACGCGGATTCCTGGGCCCTACCGAGACCTGCCTCACGGGCCTGGAATCTGCATTTTAAAGAGCCCCCGCTGGAGGCAAGGCCACACCTCTGGAGCCGCCAGAGCCAGAGAGGCCCAACCTTGGCGGACGGCCAGCCCCGCCTTCCTGTGAGGGGAGGGCTCTGCCTGTCAGGCACAGGGCTCCGTCCTGCAGCCTCTCCTGCACTGGGGAACGCAGTCCTTCTTGTATCAGACACACGGAGCCACCTGCAGTCAGCGAGGGCAGGCGGGAGGCTCCGGCTGCTGGCCGGGACAAGGTGCATGCAGGCGCCCCTGAGGAAGCTGGCCGCCACCTGGAGCTGTCCCGGCCCAGCTGCTGAGAGGCGACAGGGTTCAGGTGGCCTGGTTGCCAGGGAACTGACAGCCCCGCAGGTGCCATCCCTGGGGTTGCCCAGTAAGCAAACGCCTGCCCTGGCCAGGCCCCCAGCCCCCACCCTGGGGGATGAGTCACTTGGCATGAGGGTTCCAATCAAACAATCCCATCTGCCCAGAGGAGGATGCACGGGGCCGGGACAGCCCTCACACCCCACCCGACGGCCCTCAACGCGTGTCCTGCCCACGTGCATGCACACGCACACACACACACATGCACACACTGCTCCAGCTTGGAGCCAGCTTGCAGAGGGTGCCTCCCCTAAGTCAGCTAATTCCCCCCAAAGCTCTGGGGCAGCTGTGTCAGCCAGCGGGAATCCAGGAGGGTGGAGCAGGCGGGTGGGGGGCCTGGAAGAGCTCAGGGCCACCCTGTCCTTCCCCCGGGACAGGAGATGAGCGCTCCCCTCCCCCGCGGGAGGGCGGCCTGCTCCCTGCAGTGGGGTGAGCCTGGGGAACTCAGGCCGAGGAGGCTGGCTTGGCGTCAGCCTCAGTAAACACAAAATGGCAGCAACACAAGGGACGGGCTGTTACTCAGCAGCCAGCCGAGGCCAGCTGGCCTGGAGGCCCCCCGGAGCTGAACGCCACCCGTGGCAGTGCAGGGAAAGGGGATGTGCCCGGGAGAAGCCTCTTGCGGTCAGGGACGCCTGTAATTACTCCTGCTGCCCACGAGCCTGGAGCCCCCAGCCGTGGATCCCCCCTTTATTCAGCGTACTGGCCTGGGGGTGGGGGGAGTGGATCTCACCCTACCAGGGCGTTGAGGACAGCGGAGGCTCAGCGAGGTAGAAGGACTTACCCACCTTCACACCTCTGGAAAGGATGGAGCCAGGACCCCACCTGGTATTTCCTGGGGGGCCTCCCCTCCCTGTCTTTGGAGTCGAAGGAGACTAGTAACACTCCAGCCCTGACTGCCCCAGCGCGCTGTCTCCACTCCTGACCCTCCGCAGCCTCCGCTCGGCTCAGCCTCTCCCTGCGCACCACACCTCCCCGCTCTTGTCTGCCGAAAGCTCCTGTCCAGGAAGGGAGCCCCACAAAGAAGGAGGCTATTGCCACGGAGCTTGGGGGTGCTGATAGCAGCACCAAGGGGCAGAAAGGAAGGTTCTTGGGGAGTTGGAGAAGTCTGAGGGCTTTTTTTTTTCCAAACGGAAAAAAGCCATTGAGGAAACAACCCACTACATATTAAAATGCAACCCAAAAGACACTTTAGGAAGTGAAGATAAACAAAAGTAAACCCAAAACACTCTGTAAGGGGGCACTCTTGCCCTCCCCTCACAGCTTCTTGTGGATCTTTCCAGGAGTTTTCTGTGCATGTTGCCTCCCTGCTCCCTGCACGGTGCCCCATGTACGTCTCAGAGACATTCCCTGCCTGCCTCTCCTTTTCCAGGTGCAGGGTCTTTCCAGATTATTCCACCACTCCGCGAAGGCCACCAGCTGACTCCCTCCCCAGAACCACTGAGCCGGTGACCTGCCCTCCAGGCAAGAGGCCCCCACCCCTTACCCCTGGGCTGGGCCAGAAAGGAAAGGGGAAGAGAACTGTTTGCAGGCAGAGAGGAGCAGGGGGAGAGCCCCAAGACATGGAAGTGTCCCTGCTGAGTTCCCTGGGGGCTGCAGGGAAGGGTCCACAGGTGGCAAGCTCTGTGCTGAGCTGGGGCCCTGGCAGATGTCAGGTGAACACTCCCATATTCTGAAGCCCCGCCCCTCCCTAACACAGGCTCCCCTTGCCTGCTGGCCAGGAGGAAGCCGTGGGTGCCAACCTCAGGTCTGGGGAGGGAAGCCCCCCAGGGTGGAGGGACTCACAGACTCAAGCCCTAATCTGGAGCTGAGGGGAGAGGGGAGGGACAGGAGCAGGTCTGCTTCTGGTTCCCCACCTGAGAGGCTGGGGTCCTGCAGACCCCTCACCCCTAGCATCTCACAGAGGGGCCAGGGGTCACCAGGGGACTTGCCAAAACTTCAGATTCCTGGGTCCTCCCCACTCACCCCCAGTTGGGATGTTGGGGTGTTGGGTCCCAGAATCTGCATTTTAAGGACTCCCCTGGTGGTCCTGAGGCCTCAGAGCACTGTGTCCTGCAGGGTCCTTTATCCTTTTTAGGTTCCCCAACACCTTTTGAAAATTTGAGGGTTACGGTTTTTGAAATTATTATTTTTTCTAAAGATTTGTTTATTTATACAAGAACTAGGGTACAGGCCAGAGGCGCAGGAGGGTGAAAGAATTCACCAGAATCAGAGCGGGGAACAGAACAGGCAGATGAACCGAAGACACTGCTGAGGGGAGCAGCGGGCAAGACAGGCGAGGTCTGCCGCGCCATGTGGGTATCTCCCTGGCCGGCCGGGAATCAAACCCACGCTGCAGAGGCTGTGGACAGCTTCACAGCACCGCACTCAACCCGCTGCGCCACCGGGGAGGCCTTTAAATTATTATTAGGCTACTGAAAGTTCTGGTGAGAACCAGAGTTACTAGGGCAAAAAGGCATGTGGTAGGAAGCCCACCTAAGGGCTGAATGAGGACCTGCTGATCTTATCAGAAAACAGCTGTTCCTCGTTACCTGCAAGCCCGGTTTCCCTCTTCCCATCCTATAAAAACCTGCCTTCCCCTGACAACAGGCGCGGCTTCCCCGACCCCCACCTTGGGCCCATGAAGTTCGCCCGGGAACACAATAAAGCTCCCTTGTAAACTTATTCTGTCGTCCTGTCTTTCCCTCCTCGTATTCCCCTGCAGAAACGTTCAGATACATCTTCTCCCCTCTCCCAAGAGGAAGGCCCTTTGCTGTTTGCTTTGTATTTTGGGGGGTGGGTGTGCTTCCTGTTTCTTATCAGTGTGGCCGGGTTCAAGTTCAGCTGTCCCGAGCAGGCAGCTGTGCTGGGAGAGTGTTGATAGGTAGTGAGTGAGTGAATGAAGGAGCCGTGGTAGGAAAGAGCCCCTTCCTCCAAAAATGCACCCAAGGACACACATTGGAAAGCCGCTGTGCAGGTATTTCAGGCCCCTGACGCCCACCTACAGATGTGCCTTGAGAGTATGGTTTCCTAGTGTATCTGCTACTTGTCACAACAGCAGCCCTTGGCAGCAGGGACAGGAGAGCCTCAGGACACTGGTGTTCTCGGCTGCTCTGGGGTCAGGGCCAGGAAAGGCCCTGGGGAGTAACTTTCCCACCAACCTCCCTCTTTTATAAGTAACAGACCCGAGGGATGGGACTGGTCTGAGGACAGCTGAGCTTGAACCTGGCTGTGGATGCCCAGCGGGGGGCTGAAACCGTTTCCCCAGTAGACGTCATTGCTCCCCATCTGCATCCACTGGCGATAACTTATCTTTGGTGTCTCCCCTGACGCTCAGTGTTCCTACTTCCAAGCTGGGCTCAGACTCCCCAGCACCGTCCAGAGGGGCCCCTCCCAGCTGTCAGGACCCCACTGGGGCCTGACTCAGTTTATCGTCTGTGCAACTGTTGCCTGCTATAGCCTTGTCCACCCTGCACGCAGCAGATCGGGCCTGACCTGGGCACGCATGTGCACGCAGCACCACCTGGCACAGGTGCACATCGTTTAACCTACACACGTGCACCTGTTATCACCTGGCACAGGTGCACACTGTTTAATCTGCACATACAGAACACATGCTGTGGAAGTGCGCGGATCTGTGTGGGATCCAGAAGCTCTGGCCGGTTAGGGTCTTGCTAGCACGTTGACTCCGGTTGCTTTGTCTGGCCCCCCGGGCGCCATGATAGTGATGCCAAACCCTGCACGAGGGGACCGAGCGCTGTGCTGGGTGCTTGCGTGAGCTGCTTGCGGGACGCCCTCTCCTCCCTCTGGGGCAAGGCAGTGGTTATCAGTTTGACAGAAAAGGAAACTGAGGCTGGGGCCGTTCAAAAGCCTTCCAAGAGTCAGCTGATCACGGCAGAGGGGGGACTTGCAGTCAGGCCCGCAGGTGCCCAGGACATGGCCTTTTCTCAGTTGCCGCCCACTCTGCTCCCGGCGGAGAGGAAGGGCTGCCCAGGCCGTCGGTCTCAGCCGCACCTGCCGGGGGCCACCTGCGGACCCGAGCCCCGGCCGCGGGGCCAGGGCAGGGCGCTCGGCCGGGCGCGCAGAGCCCGGGACGAGGGGGGCTGGGTGCTCGGAAAGCGCCCGCACCCGCCCGCCAGCCCAGCCTCGCGAGGGGGGCCCGGGGTGCGGGCCGAGTGTGTCGGGACGAGTCCCGGGGTCCCCACGCCCACCCGGCCCGCCGAACCCCCAGGCCCGGCGCTCGCGGGACGCGCCTGGAAGCCCCGCCCGGCGGCCCCGCCCCGGAAAGGTAAGCGCCACCTTCGGGGAGGGCCGGGGCGCGGGCGCGGGCGCGGGCGGGGTGCGGCGGGCGGCGGGCGGGGTGCGCGCCCCGCCCCCGGCGAGTAGTGACCCCGCGCGGCCGCCGCGCGCCACTCGGGGCTCGGCCGCCGCTCGCTCACCTGCGCCGCTGCCCGCCCGGTGCGCGCGGGCCCGTCCGCGCCAGTGCCCAGCCCGCGCCCCGCGCCCCCCGCCCGCCGCCATGAACTCGCTCTTCAGGAAGAGAAACAAAGGCAAATACAGCCCCACCGTGCAGACCCGCAGGTGAGGGGCGCCGCGCGCCCACCCGGGGCACCCGCGCGTCGGGGCGCGCAGGCCGGGGCGCTGCCGCGGGGGCACCGCGGGCCTCCAGGGCCGCCGGGGCCGGGGAGCTCGGCCGGGGGGCGAGGGGCGTGGAGGGGGGCGGCTGAGCTCCGGGCGCGCGACGCGCGGGAACACCCGACACGGGCCACGGCGGGCCGGGATGCCCGCGCCCCCGGGGATGGGGTGAGCCGGGGCGCCGGCGGAGAGACAGGGTGTCCGGCCCGCCTGGAGAACTCGCGGGGCCCCGGGAGCACGGAGGGCCCCAGAGGGCGGGGGCTGAGAGCGGAGGACCTCCGCGGCCAGGGTCGCCCTTGGGCCGCCAGCACCTCGGCGCGGGGCGCAGGCTCTCCAAGGGGGGGTGTGGCGCCGGGGCGTCAGGGAGCGCGCTCTCGGGCTCCCGGGGTTGGGAAATCGAGCTGGGGCTTGGTGCGGCTCAGCCTGGCTCCTGGAGAGCTCACAGGTGCTCCCGTGCCTGGCGTCAGGGAGGCGAGAGGCGGGGGAGGTGCGCTGTGGGCAGAAGGGGGTGCCACCCGCCTGGCCCTTCCAGGCACCCACCATCCCGGGTACAGCGCCTGGGGAGGAACCTGTGGGCGCCCAGCCGGGTGCGTGGGGGCCCGGGTGGGACCATCCCTGCCCCCCACCACCCAGAGGCATTCGTGCCGGGGTCCACGCGCATGGGCAGTCTGGCCCAGTGATTTTTCAGGCCCCTCCACCCCCGAAACTGGTGGCGTCCCTGAGTGTGGGTTCCCAGGGCGGCCGAGCGACATGTCCTGATGTGTTTGCCTTGAGACGCAGCCCACGTCGGTTTTGATAAGCCTAATGTATTCACTTAATAACCGGTTTAGGGGAGCCTCCTGGAGATGCTGAGATTGAGGGAGAGGGCGGGACCCCAGCTGCCTTGCCCCCCCATCACCAAGGAAATGTGGGGGGGACAGCCAGCAGAGAGGGAGAGCTTCAGCAAGCTCTGCCCCCTGGGGGCTTCAGGCAGGTGGGACTCGGTGGCTCCCACCTGCCTGGGAGTGTCCACCCCGAGGTGCCCTCCACTCGAGGCCCTCTCCCCCCCTGAGCCTCTCCTCACTCACTCCCAGGCCCCATGGAGGCAGCGGCCTCTGGGACTCGCACCCCGCCCCTGTGGTCCAGCCCTGGCAGACCTGTCTGACAGGTGCAGCCAGGCCTGGCTCTGGCAGAAGGGAGGAGAGGGCCCCAGTCCCCTGAGCGCCAGCTCTCAGAACCCCACTGCCCTGTGCTCCCCCCACCCCAGGCTGTTTCCGGCAGAGGCGTGTCTTCCCTTCCCCTTTGAGCTTCCCGAGACAGCCGCTCCCTTTCACGATCCCAGCTCGGGCCCCAGGGCCGCCTTCCTCTGAGGCCGGGTCCAGCTGGCTCTCCCTCCCGGCTGGGGTCCGGTCCAGGCCCGGAGTTGTGCAATCACAGGCGCTGAGCCAGCCACAGGAGACTGTTTTGTTCTCCCCACCAGGACTCGGGCCTCCAGTCCACACACGCGTGTACACACCCGCCCCATGGGCCGGGCTGCCCTGTCCTTCGAGTCATAGGAACCCGGACAAGCTGGGGGTGCGTGGGCTTTCCTGGCAGAGGGGAGGAAGGAAGGTCTCCCATCCTTGACATCTGGGGGCGCACTAGGGGGTGGCAAGGACATGGGGTCCTGCTGCCTTCCTACTCCTGATCCCAGGCAGCCCCCTGTGCCCTTGGCTGGCAGCCTTTGACCCCAGGTCCCCACTCAGAGGCTCTTCCTCCTGGAAGCCTTCCTGACACCCTCCCTAGCAAGGAATGACACGTCCCTTGGTCCCCGCCATGGCCTGGCCCAGCCTCAGCCCTGAGTAGGTGCCAGGCATCCCCTCCACGGTCTCACCAGCCTGGCTCCCTTCCTCTTGACGGGGACAAGTTCATGGAGGGATTGCAAGGGGGGCAGCCCGAGCCCATTCTCTCCACGCGAGCCTCTGTGATGTGTTTTTATTGCAGTGGAGACAGTGCAGACTATGCGAGTCTAGCTACAGCCTCCCCTGACAGGCCACGTTTTTTCTTTTTACATTTGAAAAGGACAGGTCACTTGGGAGGAGAAAGGAGAGGAGCACCTGTGAGCTCCCAGGTGGGCCCTCCTGGCACCCATCACACCCTAACAAGACTCCCCCAGCATCCCCAGGGCCCAGCACGGTGGCATCCTGTGACTCTGATCATGGGGTAGCTGGTCATGGGGTGCTGATCCCCAAGTGGTTCTTTCTGACTTTTCTGGGGGCTTTGCTAGCGAGGGTCAGTGGGGTGGGGAAGCCCCAGGCTGGACACCGGAGCTGGCCTTGCTGTCTGCTGTGGACGTCGGGGGTGGTGTGGTGCTGGGGACCCCTGTGTGTGGAGGAAGGGCCGCCACCACCGTCCCTGAGTGAGCTGGGAGGAGTTCCGACTGTGGGTACATTGGCGCCCTACTCAGAGACCCCCGTGAAGAAAGCTGCCCCTCCCTATTTGTCAGCCTGTCAGCAGCTGGAACTGGAGGGCCCGGCAGGGTGTGAACCCCGCTGCTCTCATGGTTCAGCTCACTAATGACAGGTGTGGGAGCAGTGTTCACACCTGAGTTAATGACAGGGTCAGACCTGGTGCGTAGGTCACGGGGGTCAGCGTCCAGCTCAGCAGGTGGGGTGCGAGAAGGACCCCATGGCTGGGACCTGGGTGAACTGCTTGCCCCCTCATGCTGTTTCCTTGACTGTGGAGTAGACAGAAACACAGCACACGCCTGCTGACACGAGGATGAAATGAAATAACTCGCGGGAAGGGTTGAGAATTATCGGAGGCTTGCACCCACAGCCACCGCGGTGGTCATGTAGACAAGGCACCTACTGTGTGCCTGGGATTGGCCTGGAGGCTGAGGGATAGGCTGTGACCTCGCCACCCAGGGCTGCGAGAGAGGGTGTGGAGGAGATGTTGGCGGTTCTCTGCCCTGGACGGAGTTCTGCTGAGTCATGAGTGTGGGTCAGGACTCTCCAGAACTGGACAGATGAGGTCTCCAGCCCTGTGGGTTGGAAATGCTGGTCTGAAGTGAGAGCAGCTGGGGTCAGGGTGGAGACCTGGGAGATCAGGGAAGACTTCCTGGGGGAGGTGTCCAGCCTGTCACATCCTGGGAAGGTGTTTGACCTGGAAGAGGGAGGAGCGGAATGATTAAGTCCAGCTCTGGGGTTAGGTTGATTCTACCTGTTAGATTTTGGGGCAGATCTTTGGCCTCATTGAGCCTCAGCTCCCGCCTCTGTGAAATGGACCAGTGGAGCCCCTCGTCCTAGACCACCTAGCAGCCCGGCCTCACCTCCCAACCAGGCAGGGTCCTGCAAGAATGATCCCCCCATTCTCTTGGGGGACTCAAGACTTTGGAGGCTGGTGAAAGGGGCATGTGCCCCTCTGGAGGCCAGCTGGGGGGCCCCGAGCTTCTTGATCATTGAGGACACAGGGTTTGAGGTCACGCAGGTGTGAGTTCAAGTCCCAGCTCTGCCTCCCGGGCTGCGTGGCTCTGGGCAGGGCATATAATGTCCGAGTCTCGGTTTCCACATCCGTGAAATGGGATGAAGTAACTCCCAGCTGGCGAGGCGTGGGGTGGGGGCTGTCAGTGAGAAAACACGCAGAAGGGCCAGCCAGGTTAGAGTAGATCACAGCAGCCAGAATCAGATGGTCACAGGCCGTTGAGAGTGACTCCATGCCAGGCCCCACGCTCACCTGGCTGCCCGTCAGGCCTGTCCCACCTACAGCCCCGGTAGGGCAGGAGGCCAGCTGGCTCTGATCCTTCTCCCCCTGCATTGAAGAGACTCCACCTCTGGCAGATCCCTGCAGACTCACACCCGGAGGAAGGGCCCTGTTAGCAGAGCCATCTCCTACCAGCAGTTGGGCGATGTGGACCTGAGTGATCAGCCCAGCTCAGGCACCTGCCCTGTGCCCAGCACGGCCGTGGGCCCCTGTGCTGCCAGGCTGGACGCGGGGCCATTTCATGGATGGGAACACTGAGGCCAAGAGTAAAGGCACCCACCTGGGTCACAGCCCAGATGGCTCAATCAGGGACTCGGGGGCCCCCGGGGAAGAACTAGGTTTCCCCACCCTCACCTGGCCTGGTGGCAGCCGTCCCCATGACTGCCCCAGGCCAGCTGGTGGAGTCCTTGGCTTCGAGTTGCCTGACTCCTCCCAGCCACCCTCAGCTCCTCTCTGCCTCTGCCCTCACTTGCCCAGCCTCCCCTTGGCAGAGGGAGTGAAGGCTGATGAGTGATTCGGAACAGCAGCAGCTGAGTGGCCTTATTGGGGCAACTGTCAGGGGACCTGGGGTCTGGGACCCGGTGGGGGGAGGATTAATCCACATTCTTTGGGCAAAAGGAGGGGCAGGAGTGCCTGGGGGGTCTGGTTCTCAGAGAAGCTGCCCTTGAGGCATTTCCGAGGCTCCTTGTCAGGGAGGGATACCCGGGTGCCAGCGGCAGCTCCTCTCTGCTCAGGGCACCTGTGCCCCCCCACCCCGTCCTACTTCTGCCCCTGGGCAGGAGGAACTGTCTGCAGGACCCTGCCCTTTGCCCCTCCCCCACCCCCCTTCGAGCCAGGTGCCTGGGCACGTAGCAGCCTCCTTGGGATCCCGCCTCCGCCTCTGTCCGCAGCGCCTTCTCCCATGGCCGCCGGGGAGGGCTTGGCAGGATGCACATCTGGTCTTGCCCCCTGCCCCTCTGAAGCCCAGGCCCCCCTCTGTTCTGAAGCCGGTGACAGCAGCACACCCTGGCCCCCCCCACCCCGCCCGCTGCCCCGCCACCCCGCCTTTGCCCTGTTCCTCCTGCTGGAATGCTCTTCCCGACCCTCTCCTGGCTGCTCCTTCTCGCTGTCCTGGGGGACACCCCCCCTAACCTCTCCATTGTTGGGTCCTCCTTTGTCCATCTTATCTCAGGGGGGGCGGGGGGGCCTTTTGACTTTGCAGTGGCCAGATTGTCTCCCAACACTGT